GTGAGAGTGGGGAGAGGGAAATGGAGAGGGAAGGATCAATGCTATTTTGTATAGGCTATCTACATACTGTACTATACGAGCCAATCAGAATCATTAGTGTCTTGTTCTTTGATAGATTATTCATCAACACTATGAGTTTGTGCTGAAAAGGAAAAGCAGTCTCAACTCTGGATTAAGGTGTCAGAGCTTGAAATATTTTGCCACCCTGGTAGCGAGGCAGAGGGTGGAATACGTCTGAGTTCATCCTGATTTCCACAGGCTAAACTACTTAAACTCATCTCACTCCAACCAGGAGGAAACGGCTTCAATAAAGTGAGGTCATTGAAGAGTTTGGTACAGTCAGCTTACTGAAAGCTGCCTCAAGTGTAAAATTATTTTCATGGAACGAACAAATGCACGTCAAAGGTTTTACAGAGCCCAAGAGACAGTCTTCACTCTTTGCTTGGTAACTAATGACTTCATATGTTAGAAAATTGAATCAATAGGATTGAATGAATATTATTATTGTTGCTGGTACGTGAGTGGGAGGTATTTTTGCCTCACTGGATAGTGTATAATCCAGAAATAACAGGAAAAGATGAAGGGTGACTTGTCACAGAAATCATCATCCAGGCTCAAATCAGGAAAGGTGTGATAAGAGTACAAACATCAGTCTATTAAGAAGACTTTTTTTGGCCTTTTGTCCAAGTGTGCAATAGAGAGAAACAGGAAGCATGGGAAGACAGTCGGATGATATGAACCAAGGCTCTCTGACTGTCAGTGTACCCAATTAATGCTTCGTTTGAGGTGTCTGTCAGAGTCTTAATAAACTGTGGATGTACTCATCAGAGAGTGGGCTACAGGCGGGCCCACTCTCTGAATGATTCAAATTTATCTTCAGTATATTTTGCTAGCTGTAAATATATTTAGTGCGAATAATGGAGATTTGAATTTCTGAGTAGAATATCATGAATAGAATGGAAACACCTGTGTGGCAATCATAGCCTGTACAGGTTAGGGTGATAAATGTTACTGAAGCCTTTCTTGTTTAATAGTTAAAGAAAGATCAACACTATGTGACTATGTAAGTCCAGAGGTCGCTACGCTCTCCTGCCAAGTTGTGAACGAGTATGGAGTGGCTGAGAAATGAAAACCCTAAAAAGGTAAAGATGTTGGTGGAAGGAAAGAATACATAATGTAAGTTTAACGCTAATAATTGAATACTTTTCATTAGGAAAGTGTAAATCCATTATTTTTCAATGTTGATACTTGTGCTGTTGTTTCAGCTGCGACCCTTTGTCAGCTCAGTATGTTGTAAACATAAAACCCAATTGAATTGAATGGATGATCTCCATAATCCATAGTCCACCTGTTGTCACCAAAATCGTACACACAAAATCATAATTCATGAAGGTGCACCCAGTTGAATTTGAGTTTTTAAAAGATAATGTTGTGTTTTTTTTCTTTATATAGCACAGGTACAGATCAGGTCTCTGGCCCAGATTCCGTGTTGTTGATAGCCAGGTAACATAAAAAAACTCACCTGATATTGTTTTTGAGCAGATGCTGCACCAGGATGCTTTGACACAGTGTTTGTGCAGCGCTGCCGCGGAAGGCCATTAAAATATAGTTTACAGTTTAAACAGTGTAAATATTCCCAGGCATTTGAAAATGCGTCCCGTGGGTTTTGTTGAACTTTTCTGCCGGCTTCTATAAAAGAGACACATTCTTCTTTCTGCTGCATGTCAGACATTAAAGAGTTTGTGTTGCCACCAGGTGCTTCTTTCATGCACTCCTTATTTTGTAGACTTTTCCATGCTTCTGCCTGGAAATGAATAATTCAACTCAACTCCACGTTGCTATTATATCAGCTAATTAGTGCAGTACTAATATCTGCTGTGGATTATTATGTCTTCTTGAACTTGCTTCTTTTCATAAGTTTACACACTTGTCGCCCCTGTACACACATGTTCTTTGTGAATTAGCATTTAACGTTTACCTTCACAAATGTCAACCCATTCCTGGAGATCTGATTTGTTGTAAATCACGTTATTGTGATAAAATGCGATGGGGGCAGGATTTTCTGACTGTCTTCCACTTCAGAGGTAGAAATGGAGAGGTGGATATAAACACTACTGTACGTGCCACTACAAACACACAGGGAAAAAAGGCACTGCTGGATTCTTTTGTATTTCCCCAGGCCAGTTGATTTTAATAAAGTCCAACTGCATATTAAATCTACCTTCATTTTTGCTCGTGGCAACCACGCTCAGTCTACACGCTTTCAGTCTGCATTCATTTTCAATCAGCAAATTAGGGAATGTGTGAGGAGATAACTGGCCATTAATAGTCCATAAAAATAATGTGACTGAGTGATTGATTGTGAGCAGAAACCATTTTTGGTGCATGTTCTTTGTTTTTCTCCCTTCGTGTTTTGTTTTTTATCTTTCTTCTTTTTATCTCCTTCTGTCTCACTCTTGTATCTTCTAACTCACTCTCCAATCTCACTCTCCTGCATCTTCTTATTCTCTCTCTCTCTCTCTCTCTGTCTCCGTGCTCCTGGAGCGGGGGATGCCAGGGGGACAGAGTGCAGATAGGACCTGTCTCCATAGCAACAGCTTCTGCAAGCTGCTGACACCCTACTGGGGGGACTGAGGGGAGGAGAGGTTGTGGATGGGGAGGGATAGTACAAGGGTTGGGGCACAGGGATATGTGTGTGCCGTATGTGTGTTTGTGCATGTGTGTGCACCAGTGCCAAGACAAATGAGTGTGGGGGTCACGAATAGGAGAAAAGATGGAGAGAAAAGTGTTCGGAAGAAAAAGAGGAAGGATGGAGAAGGAGAGAAAGAGGCAGCCTACCCTGCTTCTTCCCCAGGGACTCGGTGGCCTGCTCATGTTCACTAGCAGAATTAGCATAAAGATGGGGGGAGGTGTGTGTGCGTGCGTTTGTGATATTTCAGTTTGTGTGCTTTGGTTTCAGATGGGAGAAGGAGGACGGCAAGCGTGTTTGTGTACATCTGTGTAACTGGTGGTATGTGTTGTCCATGCATGCAGCGTGTGTCATATGGATATAGTGTGTTTGTCAGTTGTGCGTGCTGGAGGATCTGTAGATGTGCAAAAGTGTGTGTCTGTGTATTTGTTAGAGCAACTCCCTCCCCTGGGTCTTAAACCCCCTCTCTGTTCTGTCCTGTAGCCTGCGGTTCTCCCCTGTCTGCTTTTCTGTACTGAAGGGCTGCACTTTATGAGGCTGTGATGCAAGCCTTTGTGTGTCTGTGCGATTCCGCGTTCATGTGGTTGCGTGCACATGTGTTTGTTCCGGCTTGCTTATGTAAGCACTCTGAACATGCGTCTCCTTCTATGTGTGTTGACAAGAATACAGTTATATCATATTTAACTCCCGGGCTGAATCATTCTGCCCCCCTTTTCCTATTCTAGATTCTAATTTTATTCTCCCATATTGTTTGACTGACGTAAAGGGGACTGGAGACAGTACTGGTGTTACATCTGATTTGTTTTAGTTGAGTGGTATGCTTTCTGTGTTTGTCCTTAAGATAACAATAATATAATTACTCACTGATGTTATAAATTTCAATTAAGCGAGAAATGTAGCATTTGTAATTAAACATCCTTAGAGTTGTAGAGTAAATGGAGTACTATTAAAGACACTGTGTTTGTCCTATAGGGAATGTTAGCCCAAAAATCTAATGGACAATTGCTTTGGAGTTAAATGTTATTCAGAAAAACTGAAGAAGGAAAAAAAAGATTCAGTGGCCTTCTAACAAAAGAGTCTTTAAGTGTCTCAAATATCTTGATTGCTTCATTTTCTAAAAATTAGCAAGAACTCTGTAAGATCAACCTATTTGCAGAAGACTTGTTACTATATTTAACCTCTGTCAGTACTCATTAGGTACTTATGAAAGCTTGTAATGAAGATAAGTTTTGAGTAATTTAATTGTTTACAGTAAATTAATGTAAGTTGGTTTGGTGCTGAACTGTATTTCATAACCATTTTTTTTTTTTTATATGTAGCTCATGAAACACGAGATGACACTTGTCTCTGTTGTGATCTGACCAGGAAGTAATCACTATACTTCAAATCAATCAAAATGTCTCTTAAGACATGAAATATGAAGATTTTTCCTGAATTCATTAAAATTAGTTGAATTTTGAAATAAATTAAATGTAACAAATTGTGTATTTTGTGTCAGATGCTTAAACTGCATCCAAATATGCCATTACTGACACTTGGCTTCTTTGTAATGAGAAAGGACCTGTGGAATAGTCGTTGAGAACTTCAAAAAACAAATTGGCAAAATTTTTCAACTTTACTAGCTGACCTATGGAGCATCTGTTAGGATGTTGAAATGCAGTTTCAGGGTGATTAGTTCCATATGAGTACATTCAAGCTACAAACTCCTACGTATGCGGTGTTCCTAGATCGCTTTGCAAATCAGCTGCACGTTATTATAGAGTCAGTGTTGTTTTCATTTATCTCCAAGAAATGAAAATGAAGGAGTTTGCTAATATTAGCCGTTATATTTCTGTTGTTTGTGACAGAGAAAAGCTTTTTAATGAAAGAAGCATAAAAGTATGTACTCATTATCACCGGTGCAGATAAATAACTGCTGTGTTGGTCAGGACATTATTCCTGGGTGTATGATAGAATAGATCAGAGTACAGGCACAGGTCTCTTTACAGCTTTGTGTCACTGACATTTTATGATTGTTCCTCTTCTGAAGTGTTTGAATATTTTTGCAATGTTTCTCCCTGAAGTCTTTCTTTTCATTACTGGCCTTGCCTAAAGAAAGAGATGGGGGTTAATGCATCTCTCTTCTATCTAACATTTAAACTTTAAATGGAGGTTGTTTTTTGGGGGGGGGGCAAATGCAGGTGCAGCCACTGCTCCCTGTTGTCGTTTGTTGGCCAATGCAGCATCATGCACATATACATTAGGGTAGAGTAGTGAAGGATGCATGTACACGTTGAACACCATATCGAATTCATCTGTTTGTGTTTTCCAGAGCGCAGCGGCAGCGCCAAGCCCAGTGATGGGCAACATGCCACCCAATGATGCCATGCCAGGTGGTCCCATGCCCCCAGGCTTCTTCCAGGTATGACCCCGCTCTTGTGTCATCACCAAACCCACTTCTCATTTTACCCCATCTGCCATTCATTCATTTCTGACTTCCCCAAAACAAATAATCTATATTTAGTCTACTCTTTGACTTCCTTGTCCGATGTTCACTTATTTCTGTAGAGCAATAAACTAGCAATTTCTTATTTTATTGTTAGCACATTTTATAGTAGTTGCACTAAACATGGACATTTCTCAGTTGAGAAATTATTCAGGTTTCTTTTTAAATTTTCATTCATGTTATTATTCTGACAGTAATTACAGTCTTCTCTGTACAGAAGCTGACTTTTATTTTATGAAAACTTTTTTTAAGTAGCAAATAAAAGCAGCCTTGTTTGCACCTTAATTACTGAGCAATATTTGATTAGCCCAGTTGGTGGTTTTATTTACACAAGAAGACAGGAACATTTTCTTAACCTAAAGTTTATCTAAAGAAAAAGGCATGGCTTTGCTGCTAATTGAAAATATCTGTTATATTTATAGACGGTAAAAGGAGGGTTTTCCTCAGTTATTAGACTTCTTAAGATACTGATCAGATACCCGTTTTTTTGTTTTGTTTTTTTAAGCCTTTAATTTGACTTCCGATATCAGTCAGGTTCTACTAATTAAGACTTTCACAGTAAAATCTATATGGAGTTTAATCAGATGACAGCATAGTTGCAGTTTGGGTAGCAGGGTTTTGTTTTTTTTTTTGTTTTTTTTTTTTTCCCTCCACATTTTTCCAAATACTGTTTATTCCACTCTAGATATTTACACCCACCAGAGCCTCTGAAGCTCATACTGTTCATTCATCTGTGGCTCTGCGCTCGCTGGGCTGCTGTTCAGCCGATTTGTGATTCAGCCATCCCGTATTCATCCTCTCTCCACTCCTCCATCTCCATCTCGTCTGTCTCTGACCTGTCCCGGGTCTGTGAAGGGAAAGGTTTTAGTGTGGGAGATGGCTGTCTGAAGAGTGACGAGAACGAGACATGCAAACGCGCACACAGTATACAAACACGTGCAAGCATGCGAGCACACATTCACAAACAAAAACACTGTGAGGCAGTGGTGTGATGGACAGCACTGGCATTTGGCAGGAGGCACGATAAGGTGATGGCGAAGAGTAGGAGCGAAAAAGCGAGTGACACATTAAGGGAGAGGGAAGGATGGAGAGGAAGAGGGGTGAGTGGAGGAGTAAGAAGAGAGGGAAATGTGAAAGATCAGTGCCACCAGGATTGTGGCCCACTGTTTGTTTCTGTGGCTACGTCCCACCCTATTGTTTGCTGGCTGAGAGTGAGGGTGGTGGTGCTGATGGTGGTGGGGGGGCTAGTGAGAGTATGACTGTGAATAAGCAAGGGAAAGGGTAGGGGGGAGAGGGGGTGACGAGACATGCATGGAAGTGCTATTTATAACATTGGTGGAGGAGTAAGATTGGACGATGGCTTGTGTGTCTGTGTTTGTGTGCACATTGTGTTCAAGCGACCTTACTGTAACAGAAAGCTTCGGTTGTTCACTGCAAATGTGGCTCACGCAGGCAGAGCGTTGTTTGAAATCCTGTTAAGAACGTCAGGCCTGACACCTAAACAATACCTCCTCTGATATTTGACTTTTAAAAAATGTTAAACTCTTGCTTTCACCATAGCTTTTTTTTTTTTTTTTCTCAGCTAAAGCAGTCACAAATTTAAATGCTCTTAACATACAACACAAGCAGCTATGCAGAAATCTGTCAAGGACATACGAGATCCAAGCAGCGGCTGCTGATGACTTTCATAACCAGTCGATATGTTTTTCTTGTTTTTGAGTTGTTATTTTGTCTACAGTATGTCAGATAAGACATGACAGCTTCAAGATATGACTTAAAGTTTACGAGCAAGAGTTCAAAATAAAAACAAACAGTTCAATTTTCCATCATTCTGCAAAAAGACAGCAAATCTTCGCAGCTGAGATGTTTGACATTTTTGTGTTTAAAAATAATTCGCTAATAGATTATAATAGTTGTTGATTGTTCAAATTTTCTTCTGAGATGCTGACCTCATTAATTGGGTCAAGTGGTTTCTTTTCTTTTTTTATTACAAAGTTTCAAGTTTTTTTTCTCTCCATGAATTGCATTCATTAAGAGCTTTTTATCAAGGCCGCCCTTCTGACAGATCTGCTGCCCCAGACAGATATTGGTCCGTACAATAAAGTAGACCCCATCTAATCTTGTTGTTGTTTGTTGTTAATTAGTACACCTATTTCTTACTCAAGCAAGCAGTTGGTCTGTTGTCTGTCCAGCAAACATAAGCAGTTGTATGGAATTGATGTCTGTCTCTATGCATTTGAAGAAAAAAGAAGTGACTTTTGGTAGTCAGTTGTACAAAGCGATTGGCTCAGATTCTGTTGGTCAGCTGATTTCTTCATTTCATCTGAAAAATTATAATATTGAACTGACTGTTTAGCACTTATGGACATTTTTTTTAAATTTAACCGTTACATTTTAAAGCACTAGAAGTAGTTGGGACGTAAACGGCTAAGCAGGTGCCCCCCCCCCGGCTTGATTAAGTAAGGTCTGGAGTTGAATGTGCATTTGGTAGCTGCTCACTGGGACTTTCAGCATGAGGTCCAAAGAGATTTCGATGCAAGTGAAGAAGGCTGTCATTCAGCTGAAAAAAACATAACAAAGATGGTGGAAACTTTAGGAGTGGTCTAATCAACAATATGGTGCATTCTTAAAAAGAAGGAATGCGCTGGAGAGCTTAGCAACATCAAAAGGCCTGTAAGCCCACACCACATCTAACTTCTGCTAAAATGATGGGAAGCATATGGAGAAGAAAAGGAAACTCTTACGATCTTAAGCATGCCACATCATCCGTCAAACATGGTCGAGGCAATGGTATGGACATATATGGCTGCCAGTGGAACGAGGTCACTTGTGTTTATTGCTGATGTGATTGCTGATAGCAGTAGCAGGATGAGTTGTGAAGTGTACATGGCTATAGCCCCTGCACCGAGGCAGCCTGCTGCTAAACTGGCCAGATGGCTCTTCACAGTGGGACTCTAAAATGACCCAAAATGTACAACGGAAGTAACACAAGAGCTTCCTAATCAAAGAAATGTAATGTTGCTAAATGGTTGGGTCAGTCACCGGACATCAACCCAACCCAGCATGTTTCTCATTTAGTGACGACAACTGAAGGCAGACTGACCCACAAACAAGCAGCGACTTAATGAGGCTGCAGTAAAAGGCTGGCAAAGCATTTCATGGGTGGAAACCTAACCTTTGGTCATGTCAATGCATTTGAGACTTTAGGCAGTCATTGACTGCAAGAGTTTTGTGTATCAGGTATTTAAAATCGTGCCGTTTGGTATGATTTTTTTTTTTTTGAGAGTTTGTGTAGTTACTTTTGAGCCTAACTACTGTTTTGTTTTTTTGTTTTTTGTTTTTTTTAAACAATTGCAATAATTTATTTCGACCGTAGTATTTTTGCTGAACTCCCTAGGATTATGCCAAAAGTCTACACTGAATTGCTTTGTTTTAGATCCATTATTGGGTGTGTGCAGAGATAAATTCACAAAAAATGTTGTCACTGTCCAAATACTACCAGACTCACTGAGGTAATCGGTGTGCTGTCTTTGTGTGTGTCCGGATGCCTAGGAGGGATACATGGAAAATTCCATTTACCATTAAATCAGCCAGCTTTTGTTTTCTTCGGACAACTGGAAAAGGAAAAAAACCAAAGCACTGAAAGCACTAACAGTGATGGAGCAGAAACAAGACTGTTGCATAATGACTTCTTTATTAGAGGCCGTTAACCGCGTGTCTCTGGGTGAGAAGTGGGCAATAACGATGCAGTGTTTTAGACCAGCAGAGGGGTCCCTCACAGGATCACGCGTTTTACTTTGAAGTAGGCTGACGATAAGCAGGGAAAAACTTCCAACCTGTTCTTGTTTTTGCCAGTATCGTCTTTCTGGTTTGAAGTTACCTCTTGTGCCTGTCCTGCTGCTGCCTGTCCTGTTGCAGTGAGCCTTGGGCAATACTGCCCCCATGTGGATTTAGCGAATACATTTAATCCTCCAACAAGAAGGACCAAAGTATCAGAGAGATGGTTATGCTTTAAGATTTCTGTCAGCTTGTTTGAACTCAAACTCACATTGAAACTATTCCTATATGACTTTTCATTTTATGGGTTTTTAAGGAGTAACTCTTAACTCCACGTTAAGATGCAGCTTTTCCCACTTTTGTGCTTCCTTCTACCTCAAATTAAAGACTCCCCACTGACTCCCCACTGCCCCCCCCCCTTCCCAACCCTCCCCATCATCTTCCTCTCATAACTTTGATTGGGTAATTCCTCCAGGTGTAAACCCACATTTTGCCCCTCCCCTTTCTGATATCGCTCTTCTTTCTTAAAGGGACCACCCGGCTCTCAGCAGTCCCCCCATGCACAGCCCCCCCCACACAACCCCAGCAACCCCATGATGGGACCCCATGGCCAGGTAAGAAGCAAATGCTTTCTCTCAAACACCCCTCTTTTTTCCATTCCCTCTAAATCTCCCCTCTACCCCTCACCCACACACTACCTCTTTCTTCCCATTCACTGCTCACACACCTTCTTCTTCTTCTCCCACCCTTGAGCCCTGTGAGCTCCAGTTTTGTTCAGGGTAACTCCCCATAGATGTCGGCCCCCTTTTTATGAAAGCCGAGCTTCCAGAGGCAGCAACGCAAGCTCCTCTTCAAGGCCCAGAATCAGCTGTCCCCGTGTGGGATGAATAATTCACTCCTTGCCCCCTCCCCTGGAGCAGCTTGTGGGGGGTTGCACACTTATCTTCTCCGTCACTCTTAGCACACACACATGCTCATACCTCTCCCCTCCCCCCTGCTTACTTGTTTTAACACCTTATAAATAAAACAGGGGACAGGCATTATAAACGTCACATATACGTACAAAACACATGGGTATGCTGATGCACGTAGAACAACCAGAGGCTTGGGTTGCTACAGCCTGCCAGTTGACAAACACATATCCAGTCTTTAAAAACTTCAATCCTTAGTCATTCAGCAGTTATCCAGAACAGTAGCTACAGATGCCACTCTGGAGGTAAAGCTAGCCTTTACCCATTAACTGCGGCAGCTCAGCTCTTCATTCTTGTGGTTTCTGGTTTCCGTCTTATGTGCGAGAGAGTGTGGACACGCTTCCGCTAAGGTTTTGAACGGTGTTGTTGGCCTGAGGTGTCTCTAACTACGCCAGGCAGACCACAGGCCGAATCAGCTTACACCACAGTGAGAGCACGCGGGCTGTGCAGGGAGCTGTGTGAGCGCTGCCGTTAAGCACACACAAATGTGCATGCTGTTAGTATAAGCGGGAGATTTGAAAAATCAGAAAATAGGCTCTTATGCCAGTGTATTTTGTTGGTTTCCAAGTTATTAAGTTGATGAATCTGCACTTTTTTCACTGCCATCTCTCATTCTCCAACACCACTGCGTTCATCTGTGTCCTCACCATCACCCCTGTTTGAGTGCGTTTGAATCTATCAATAATAGAAACTGTGTTTTCTCTGTGTCCTCCTTTGCCCTATAATTTCCACCCTCCTTTCCCTCTGTTTTTCTTTCTTCCCCTGTTCCTTACTGCAGCCTTTCATGTCACCGCGGTATCCAGGTGGACCGCGCCCCTCACTCCGAATGCCAAATCAGGTACTGAGCAGCATTTTGAATTGTGTTTATCTTTTTTTTTTTTTTCTTCTTCTTTTAAACACCACTGAGAATCTGTGATGCCAACATATGCCAGTGTGTTGATCAATTTTCTCTTTTCTCAGCCTCCTGGTGGTATCCCAGGATCTCAGCCTCTCCTGCCAAACAGTTTGGACCCAACAAGACCGCAAGGTAAGGCCGGTCGTAGTTACAGGTCAGAGCAGATGATGGGTCTGTAACTGAAGTTTTAGTTTGGATTTTCTTGAATCTACTTTAAAAGTGGTGATATTTTAAAATACCTTAAAAGATTTGGTCGGTAATCAAGAAGTTAAAAAAACAAACAAAACTCTGCATTGTCTTCATACTAGGGCTTTGGGGGATTTCAAATCAAATCA